TTTGACCTCCATGTCCCATCTGTTAACCTGACAGCTGGTTCTTGTTCCAGTGCCTTCTGCTTAAATAAGGAGCACTTGCTTTGCAGCTGGAGGGGTAAATATTTTACCCACTGTCTTGCCTTTGGGATAAACATGCAACATGGGTGACTCTGGGTCAGAGTGCATCCTTCTCCCCCTTCCTGCTAGATGAAAAAGTGAAGAAAATCATTATGCCTCTCCCTTCCAGGCCTGTCACATGTGTGCTAAAGCTGTCTGCTTCTGGCTAAATGCAAAGTCTCACTGCAACCCGTACCTAAACACTTACTGGTGCGTTTTCTTCCCCACACTGAGCTAGTGAAGAAGGCATCTTAACAACAGCTCCCCCAAAACCAGTCACATGCTTCCATAAATAAACTAACTAAAGGTAAATAAAATTTAAAAAACATATTTTGAGTGGGTAAAATTCTTTATTTTTCCAAATCCTGGAACTATTTTCCCCCACTATTTCTCAAGACATCTCTTCCATTACTAAGCCAGAATTCTCTCCCTTGCATTGGGCTATGCTTTTCCTCTCCATAGCACCAATGACCATTAACATCCGATATATTTTAATTATTTTGTTTATTGTTGGTTCATAGCATCTCTACTAGAATTAAGGTGACTATATTATTCATCATCTAAACCAAGAGGTTTGGGAGAGTGAAAAAGAGCACTAATACAAATTATGCCAGGACTAAACGGAGACGTTCTTGGGGAAACACAGCTGTGGTTGCCCTACCTACAAGGCAAGTTCCAGAAGCTCAGGGACTTGGGTGTGACTTCTCACACCGGTGTCTCTACTGTCTAAGACCGTAAGCACAGACACCCATGAGATGCTCCGTAAATAGGTACTGAGTCATGGTGGCTCCGAGCATGAGCTCTGAGTGGACGGCAGAGGTTCAAACTCTGGCTCCCACCCCAGTGAATTACATCATTTCCCTGCGGTGATTTCCCTGACCACCACAGGCTTCAATTTCCTCATCTGTCAGATGGCAACACCAATGGGAGCACCCACCTCGAACGGCTATGTGAGAACTAAATGAGCTCATCCACAGTGCAGTGCTGAACACAGGGCCCGCACACGGCAAGAGTGGGCACTCCAAAACATTGGCTGCCAGCATCACTATTGGTCATTCCAAGACTGTCTGAAGAAGGTGTGTAGAGCAGATGGTTATGACACTGCCTACCCAGCCTTAACATGACAACAGTAGAAGCCTCCTGTGTCTGTAGGATGCCTGGTTGTGCCTGGCCGACCCTGAGATGGGCCCCTGGCCTGAGCCTGGCCTAGAGGAGCTCTCACTTGGGACTGAGGAGCAACTTTTTTCTAGAAATCAAAGATGTGGAGTCTGTAGTCCTCATGCAGTCAACACACTTCCCATTCTACAGAGAAGGCAAGTCCACAAAAAGAAATGATAGCTGCTGAGGGCAGAGGAGGGACTGGGATACCTGAGGCCCTGGCTGCATCTCTGCCTCCCTGCTCACTGCTCAACCGACCCCTCTGAGGTTCTATGAGCCAGGAACCTCCTCTGTGGCCCCAGCCACTTCAACCTGCCAAATGTAAACAGAAGGGTCCTGACAAGGGCCGTGGTAGGCAGATTCAACACACGAATATACAACTGATTTAAAAAAAAATTTAAGGGGCTGAGGAGGAGAAGGAAAGGATGATAAATATTCACTCGTGCTCACCCTTTGCCAGGCACCATAGGGAGGAATCTGCCAGCACTACTATGTGGTGGGTACCATATTTATTCCCATTTTATGGATGAGACCGCTGAGACACCCAAAGGAACCTTCCCAAGGCCACACAATTAGTTTACTGGGTGTCACTGCTGGCTTCCTAGCAGCCCTTCTATCTTCGGTGATTAATAGAAGCCCATCAACATATGGCACTCTCCTGGGGAATGTCAGTAGACCAGGAATGGGAGCATGTCCTACACTAGCCCAGTTATATTGGAGAAGAGCTCTTCCATTTCATGGCTGGGGTTTTGCCTCTCCTGCTTAGGGGAACCAGCCTTAGAAGGCTAAGTTCTTTCTTCTAAGCAAAGAAGAAAGAGAAAGTTCAAGAGTTCTCTTTCTCTTCAAGAGAGAAAGCTGATGTTAAAATTGGCACTGTGGTAGAGTGGTCAAATAAAATACAGGATGCCCTGTTCAGTTTGAATTATAGATAAACAATGAAAAATGTTTTGGCATAAATCTGTCCCAAATATTGCATGGGTCATACTTTTTTTTTTCTTAAGGAGGCTCCATGCCCAGCGTAGAGCCCAGCATAGGGCTTGAACACAGGACCTGAGATCATGACCTGAGCTGAGATCAAAAGGCAGATGTTTAATCGACTGAGCCACCCAGGTGCCCCAAGGTGCTAAAAAAGTTCTAATTGTCTATCTGAAATCCGAATTTCTCAAGTGTCCTATATTTTTTTTTTTAAGATTTATTTATTTAAGAGAGACAGAGAGCGTGTGCATGCACACAAGCGTGGGGGCTCAGCATGGAGCCCAAACGCCGGGCTCGATCTCATGACCTTGAGATCATGACCTGAGCCGATGCTTGAGTTGGACACTTGACAGACTGCGCCCCTCTAGGCGCCCCCCCAGGTGTCCTGTATTTTTATTTGCCAAATGCGGCACAATGGAGAGAAGTACATACAATGGAGAAGAAGTAGGAAGCACTACCTCTGAACTTCTGGTTATGCAAGGCCATTGATTTCTTTACTGTTTAAACACTTTAGAATTACCCAACCCATCCTATCTCATGCAGCAAGTCAGAGGTTCCAACCTAGGCAGGAAGGATACAGAGCCAAAGTCACACCACCGTACAAATCCCAAAGGGACAGAAACCGAACACCATATTCAAATCTAAAAAGCCAACGCTTAGGACATTGAACTTGTTTTCTCAGAGCTATACAAATGCAGCTTGACAGACTTACTGGAATTCTTCAGATTCTCCTCAGTCAATGTAAATTTTTTATTATAAAGTCACGGAACGTGAATTCACTTAAACTGTAAAACCCCTTCATGAATACTAACAAACTCGAAAACCTCAACAAAGATGACTGTTCATAGCCACCAAAAACACAAAAACATCTAGCAATTCCAGATTAAGGAGCCCAATTTTTAGACATTCATGATAAAATTACATCCTTGTAATTTTGGTCAGAAAAAAATTAGCTCCATAGCAAAATTTGACTTTAGGTCAAACCTCGAGCATTATAAAATAATCAAATAAAATAGGAAGAGAATAGAGGAATGAGCAAAACTAAATAACCAAATGGGTAACCATAGGGCTGAGTTGCACTGCAGTTTAAGGGTAAAAGTCCCATGTGTGTGTCTGTGTCTTGGGCATACTATTTACTCAGCATCAAAAATCTCAAGGAAATGGACCCAACGGGTTTATGTTTGACGTCAGGTATATCGTCGATGAGCAAAAACAGGACATTGAGTTAGCCATTTCAGCTATGAAGAGACAAAGCGAGGGGCGCCTGGGTGGCTCAGTTGGTTAAGCGACTGCCTTCGGCTCAGGTCGTGATCCTGGAGTCCTGGGATCGAGTCCCACATCGGCTCCCCGCTCAGCAGGGAGTCTGCTTCTCCCTCTGACCCTCCTCCCTCTCATGCTCTCTGTCTCTCATTCTCTCTCTCGCAAATAAATAAAATCTTAAAAAAAAAAAAAAAGAGACAAAGCGATTCCTGTATCTTTATTTGCATCTACCAGTTTTGAAGCCTTGCTCTGGGGCAGAGGCTTCTCCATAACGTGGAACACACAGCATTAACATCACCATCATCTGGGCTCCCTTCAAGCAAATAAAAAGCTGTAATTCAGGGCATGTCAGCAGAGAACAGTTACGAAGTTGAGAAAAGGTGTGACAGATATATTTGGAAAACAACAACATAGATATGTATTACACAACTGGATTAAAAGAAATATGATTTATGATATTCCTGAACATAATGTTATGAAAATCTTAACTATCCCCAAATTAATCTAGAAATTGAACAAAGCTTCAATCAAAATACCAATAGGTTGGTTGGTTTGTTTTGGTGGAATAAGAGAAAGGCCTGATAAAATGTTTGCAAGTTTTATCTGGAAAAAGTAACGAATAAGAAACGTGAATAGCGGGATGCCTGGGTGGCTCAGATGGTTAAGCGTCTGCCTTTGGCTCAGCTCATGATCCCAGGGTCCTGGGATCGAGCCCCACATCGGGCTCCTGGCTCAGCAAGGATCCTGCTTCTCTCTCTCCCTCTGCCTCTCTCCCTGCTCATGCTTTCTCTCTCTCTTTCTGTATCTCTGTGTCTCAAATGAATAAATAAAATCTTTAAAAAAAAAAAAAAACCATGAATAGCAAGAGCAAGGGAAGGAGACTACGCAAACATATGTCGCAAGTATTATAAAGCCAAAACCATTAGAATAATGTGGTAGAACCCCGGGACTACACAGGAAGCTCCATGGAACAGAACAGAAAGTTTAGAAACAGATCCACAAATATATAAGGATTTGTTCAATGACAGAAGTAAGTATCTAAAATCTATGGGGAAAAAATGGATTCACCTATAAACAATGTTGGCTACCATTTAGTAGAAAAGAGCATGTGAGTTTTACTGGTGAGATGGTTTTAAAAGTCTGAAGTGGTAGAGGCTAAAAAGGAGGACAGAATCCATCCATGAATAGTACGCTAAAGAGTGATAGCCCTGAGCTCCCAACTCATGGCTCCCCACAGGATTCCCAACAAGAAAGGGAATGCTGTCAGCTGGTGTGCCGTCTTCTCCCTCGTTGGACCTCACTGGGTTTCCTTCCACATCCCCCCCGCACCACCAACCTCTCTTCTCAGAGAGCATTTCTCTACCACCCACTCCCCCACTCTGTAACACAAAAGGACTCTGGGAAGCTAAGAGAAGTTCTCTACACAATTTGGATTCCCTGATTCCCCCAGTCATTGTAAGGCATCAGCTTGAACAACCCAAGAGTCACTAAACTTCAGGAATAAGTCTTACCTGTTTCCTCTTTTCAGGGGGAAGTGACGGATCTCCATCCTAAAAAGAAGCAAATGTTACACTTTACTTAAAAAAAATATATATGTGCTTAAATTTAAGGAACTGAACCAAACTCTGAACTAAATTCAGACCCTCCCACTCCTGCCCCCTGCAATCAATAGTGTGCTGAACCAAATTCAAATATACTTTCTTTTTAAGATTTTTTTTTATTTGAGAGAGAGAGAGGGGGAGAGAGAGAGCATGAGTGGGGTGAGGAGAGGGAGAAGCAGGCTTCCTGCTAAGCCGGGAGCCTGACATGGGGCTCTATCCCAGGACCCTGGGATCATAACCTGAGCTGAAGGCAGACGCTTAATCAACTGAGCCACCCGGGTGCTCCTCAAATATACTTAAAAAAATTAGGTATAAACTGAACCAGTTATTTTGGAAAAACCTCTAAGTAATCAGTTCCACTTAGGACCAAACCTATATACTTTCTAAAACCATATGAATCAAGTAAATGCATGAATAAACTGGATTTATCAAAATTGTTTTTGAGCAGAGCCAAAACTGATATAATATTTCATTTGGTTTGAGTTGAATCCCTCTTTTAAATAGTTAGAACCAAAGGAATAATAGTGGACATGCACATGCTTGAGTTTTCTCTATGGGCCGAACAATTTTGGGGGGGGTGGTAGGGAAGAGGGGATAGGATATGCTCAAAATAAAAGAGAATTAACTGAGAACTTGTACTCCTATCACACTTTCTGTCTTAAAAGGCTTCGGTCCCCCCCACCTTTTGCTGCCACCTGAGAATAAAAAGAGCTCAGGTGAACATATAAATGCTTAGTAAACGAGCACGCTTCTCTCCGATGCTGCCCGAATGTAAGTCAACATTATTTTGACCCGTGGAATCCTCCTATTCTATTTCTGCTCCAGGACAGTTCAATGATCCCAGCACAGACAGCTAAATGTTAGCCATCGGGTTGGCACTCAAAAACAGAGATCGTATCCGTGAGAGAAAAAAGTAGAATGCAAAATAGTGCTCTGCTATTGGTACCCTCCATCTCAGTATGATCTATATCCTTAAAAATCTCGCCACATGAAAACCCAGAGAGAATCTAAATGCCCGGGATAAGGGAAAGGTTAAAGAAATTATGGAAATCTTACTATGCAACTGTTTTTAAAGATGAATTAAATTTGTATGCACGGCCTAGAGAGATGACCCGGACAAAGTACTGAGTGAAAGGTGAGTGCTGGAACAACGTTGACACAGTGCTGACGAACAGCACTCTGCAGCGATGGAAACGCTCTGTATCTCACTGTCCAATACAGTGGCCATCTGGGAAATCTATATCCACATAATCCCATACGGTAGCCACCGGCCACCTGCGGGGATTGGACCCATGAAATGTGCTGAGACTGAAGAACAGAGTTTTCAAGTCTACTGAATTCTAATTAATTTCAAATGAAATTTAAATAATCACATGTAGCTAGTGGCTTCTGGATTAGTGCAGATTTATAATATGAATCCTCTTTAAAAAGCCCCATACAGGGGCGCCTGGCTGGCTCAGTGGGTAGAGCATGCAACTCTTGATCTCCAGGTGGTGAGTTCTAGCCCCACCTACCCTGGGTGTAGAGATTACTTAAAAAAAAAAAAAAAGAAACAAAACAACAACAACAACAAAATGATAAAAAAGCCCCATACAAATAAATCAATAAGGAAGCATGTACAAACACGTGTGTGTGTGCATATTTCATAGGTGCTGGGGCAAGCAGTCTGGAAGCACATACACACCGGCCAGTGACTGGGGCTGGGTTGTGGAGGAAACAGGGGTGACAACTTGCACTTCTTCATTTTTCCACTTTGGAACTGTCTGAATGCAATCTTTTTTTTTTTTTTTTAAGAACTGGCATGTTAAAGTCCTTTCTTTCTTTTTTTTTTCTTTCTAAATTTTAATTCCAGCGTAACCCACTTTCTATCTTAATGAGGGCACAAGAACATTGCCATGACGTAACACGTACTATCAGCTCCCGGTACTTCTTCTTCAGGGACTGGTGGCGCTCTCGAAGCTGATTGGCCATGAGTTTGTACTGGTCCCTTTCTTGCTGGCATGTGTCCAGCTCCTTGGAGAGGATCAGCAAGGCTTCCTTTTTACTCTCCAGCTTTCTTTTACACACTAGGTACTGCAAAACAAACAAATCCAAGCAGCTGGTCAAAAACGTCAATAGACCTCCGCTTAACACACCTTGTGTTTCACGCATCCTGCCCGGTTGGTTTTGTTTTGTGGAGTTTTTTGTTTTTAGAGAACATATACCCAGAGACGGCGGTCAGTAAATGACTTATGCAGTAAGCATACAATATGCAGACTGCTACGGTACCAGACGTACGCCACTCACCACCGAACCAAAACCTTGGGTGTTCATGAACTTTAGCAAACTGGGATAAACGGATAAAATAATTTAACTGACATAAGTAAAAAAGCAAAATTTTTTAAGTGACATGGATAGATAGACAGTTGGACCCAAATTTTGTTTTAAAAGGATTTATATATTCAGGTAAGATTATGTAAAATTTTATTAAAATTCAATGAAATGATATACACAGAAAGATTATTCAATACAAATTTTGTAAAAATATTAGTAACAACTCTTGGTCACGTGTTTTTTACAATTTTATTCTTTGTGCTTTTCCATGTTTTCTAAATTTTCTGGAAGAAACCCATATGGCTATCCTATAATAAAGAAATACAAAAAGTGTTATTCGAAATAACTTAATTGAACTATAAGTCACTGCAGGAGATTTCACTTGCCCATTCAACCCAGCAGACATTTTCTCACCTGAGAATGTTTGTTCACTACCTCCACCAAGATGTGTACAACGTTCATAATTTCAACGCAGCAACCCACTACCCAGGGACCAACTCCGTTTAGCCACACTTTGATTGCCCCCAAACAGTTGGGCGTACTTAGCTGGAACTCTTCCTCAGAGAGACAGGATTTCTTCGTCCCTGCTTCTCCCCATCCCCCACCCCTCACGCTGACCATGAACCACCCTCACCTGATAATCACCCACCACATGGGCCAGGGTGAGCCTGACTGGGACTCTTTACTTTTATTGGATATACTGCACCATCTGGGGTTATTCACGCATGTCAAATGTGGCATTAAATACCTTTTGAATTTGCCCCGTAAAAGACCAAATTCAGAGCATTCATGAAAACAATTTATAGTTTCATTATACACTCTGACATGAGCACTTTGTCATTATGGACGCTCTCACAAAAAGCAGAAAGAGAATCAGCACTCCCAAACGATTGGAGTCAATGCTTTTACTGGACAAAAAGCATTACTCATATATGGTGCTTGCTTGGAACTGACTTTGTTAAGTTCAATTTCAAATAAATGAAAGGGGAAAAAGAGTTTCGTGCATTAGCACAGTTTTTTTTCCTTAAAAAAAAAAAAAGTAATTACTTAGCTTCAAAAACAAAGGGGAAAGAAAAGCCATTCTGAGACAGATTTGAGTTCTAAGAGAGGACACTTCCACCTTGGATGAATCTTATTCCTGGCAGTAATGAGGTTGGAATCCTGCCTTAAAATGTCCTGGATTTTTAAGACTTTGACATGTCTTCATGGAGGGAAAATGGTTCTGTTGCCACTGTGATTTCTCAGGAGTAAAATCCCCACCGAGTAAATATCAGAGGAGAGAGGCTCAAAAACCTAAACTGCAGTGTCCTAAGGGAGGTATTGAGATTACACAGGAAAAAATCCCATTTACACAGAATTTAACAGATCTGCCCTTGCGCCTTCGGTTCTTTGCCCGCGATCAGCAGCCTCGGTTGTCAGTGCTGTTGGTATTGGTGGCATAAAAATGGCCACCTTTGTCCCTTCGATTTATCAGATCCAACTCTGAGGCCCCAAAGATACTGTCTTCCAACTGTGGGGAAGAAACTTCCAATTGCATGGAGACACTGTAAAGTGCCATAGACGAGATTAGCTGTAAGATCCGGTCTCCTGAAGGGAACAGGTAGGGGCCACCTTAACGGCAAAGTGGCAATTCAGGCTCCCTGAACTTGACCTGCTGTCTGTTAGGATCCAAGAGAGAAGCTGTTTCTCTCCCAAGGCCTGGTTCAAATAGGGCCCTGGAAGCTGGGAAGGGCAGTGATAGGACTTCCTTCCCTTGGGTCCAAAGTACCTGGCAGGAAACAGGCACAGAGGCCTCTGTGAAGACAGTGACCCGGGATCTGCTGAGCAGCATCACTGCAGTTGGGTCCCCTTCAGGGCACAGAAAACAGGACAATCGTACCCGCCCCACGGGGTCAGAAAACAAACACCTTCCGTACAGAACCTAAAGCCAACAGCAGCAAAAAGGCCGTCTTGAGGAACCCACAGCTCGACTGCTCTTCCTTCTGCTTACTATGGTCTAGAACAGCAAACGGCAAAAATTGCCCTCCGTGCCATTTATTTTTTTATTTTTTTATTTTTTTAAGATTTTATTTATTTATTTGACAGAGAGAGATACAGCGAGAGAGGGAACACAAGCAGGGGGAGTGGGAGAGGGAGAAGCAGGCTTCCCGCCGAGCAGGGAGCCCGATGCGGGGCTCGATCCCAGGACCCTGGGATCATGACCTGAGCTGAAGGCAGACGCTTAACGACTGAGCCACCCAGGTGCCCCTTTTTAAATTTTTTTTTAAAGTTTTTTTTATTTATTTGACAGAGAGAGACACAGCGAGAGAGGGAACACAAGCAGGGGGAGTGGGAGAGGGAGAAGCAGGCTTCCCGCGGAGCAGGGAGCCCGATGTGGGGCTCGATCCCAGGACCCTGGGATCATGACCTGAGCCGAAGGCAGACGCTTAACGACTGAGCCACCCAGGCGCCCCCCGTGCCATTTATTTTTATCAAGAAAACGAATCTCAGGCTGAAGCCTCATTTCTGAAGCAGCTCAAAGTGGTGCTGCCCTGAAGATGGGACGGCTCCCCCAAAGCCCCCTGACCCTGGTGTGGCAGCAACAAGAAGGAAGGCTAGAAAACACTGCTCTGTGTGCCCCCCGCCGGGGTGGGGGGAGGTGCTCGTGAAAATGCGGATGCCCGGTCCTGAGTCTCCGGGACCGGCTCAGGAACCTGCACTGTTAGCCCCTGGCACAGGGGGTTCTTACTCCGGCCACACTCTGAAAACCCAGGCTCTAGGGGCCTCCAGCTTCATGCTGCCTCGAGAGTTAGAACCCTAACTGCAATAGTTAGAGAGGCCGGCAGGGGCCCGTGGGTCCAGGCGCAAGGCACGGTCCCGGGACCGTTCTGGGGCTATCTGTGCCACTTTCTGCAGCCCAGAGGGGTTCTGAACAAGTACACGCATGGGCTCCGTTTTCCTGCACCCGGCCAAAGAGCTTACATCTTTTGTCAAAATAACAAGAGAAAACTCTGGGAGGGGTGTGCGTGTGTGTGTGTGTGTGTGTGTGTGGAGGTGATGAGGGATCAGAAGGCAAGCTGAGGACAAAGCAGAAGCTGACACCCCACAACCCCCCCATGGGATATATGTGACATGCCTCATGCACTCCTGGCTGCCCTAAATAGTTAAGAGTTAAGGTCTTATAGAGATCACAATCCTACAAGACAGGAGTCTCCCTCAGTTTACACAAGTCTTAGCAATTTACAAGAACAAAGCATTTCTATCAATGGTCTTCCAGAAGGGAATGTAAATACAATTAAATGTCATATAATCTATAACCCGTTGACAGATACTTGAAGCGGGCAAAGTATAATGTTCCTTCAGAAGCTCCCAACTATCTTACTGTTAATGCCTTACTACAGGGGTAAACAACCTTTACCTGACAATGGCAAGGCCTCCGGTATCCTTTAACATATGAAACTTCTTTCTCGAAGCCTCCCTTTCTCCTCACCTCCCCCAACCCCATAGTATCTAATCAGCCACCCCCCACAACTCAGGGGCAGCAGCTCCTTCTGCCCATGGCTCCTGTCTCCATGCTTTAATGAATTATCATTTTGCATCAAAGACGTCTCAAGAATCCTTTCTTGGTCGTCGGCCCCGGACCTCACCCCACCAAACCTCACCTATATTCCAAAACCACATCAGAGGGGGCGGTATTGGGGAATGGGAAGGAATTTCTCATACTCGTTTTAAAATGGTTATAGTTCAGTCCACGTGGTGGCAGCCATTAAAATGACCCATTTCCTAGCCCTCCAATTGGAAACAAAACAACAGAACTGGAAGGAAAGGAAAAGGTCCTGAAGAGCCTCCTTGCTGGCAGCTCTGAACAACGGGTAAGTGCACCGATCCAGCCCCAGCTTCGGGAGGGACCAAAAATAAAACAGAAAGCTGGACCAACCAAGTTACTGTGCTTGAGACATTTCAGCTTCTAAAGGAGGATGGGGTAAGTGTAGAGGATGGAGGAGGTGGACAGCAGAAAACCAGCAGGCAGAGCCAGGAGGCCTCCATCCAGAAGTAGGTCTCGCGAGGAGCTAATCATGAACGGCGGGGGCCCTGGAAAAGCCACAGAACAGAACACACGCACTGCCTGGAAATGAGAGGAAGGTGCCCTGTAACTTGAGGAACCCATAATTTTAACACCACAATCCAGTATCACTGGGGGTAAAGGGTGTCCGGGAAAACACGGTGGCGGGCGCGGGGAGGCAGGTAGGGGGCTCCCGTCCAGGAGGTAGGACTTACTTCAAGCATCCAGAAATCGCTTCCCCTGCCTTTTCTAGGACAGAACTGGCTCAACGGTTTCCAAAAATCATCCATGACCATGGCAGTTCCAGAATCTCTTTATGGCAGGGGCTATCGGACGCCACCTGGCTGCAATGGGTGCTGACCTGAAGCTGTGTTTGCAATTACAATTTACGGCAGAATGAGAAAAGGCTAATGTCTATGTGGTTGACATGAATGTCTCTCTCTAATATTTCCAGCTCTCCTTTCCTTCCAGGCCCATGGCAGGACTATCCCTCCCCATGCTTTGGCGTAAGGTAGAGCCACGTAACTTGCCTTATCCCATAAAATGGGCCTGGCAGGGACAGGAGGTTCTCCCAGGGCGAAAGCACTTAAAGGTCAAGGTGAGAGTCGCCACGCCTTCTCCTCCCCGGCTGCAACAGGTGTGGAAGCAGGTGGGGCCACGAGAACGAAACGGCCTGGAGTGTGGTGCCAACACAGCAGACGACTTGCCCTGGAGAGTC